CATTAATTAATTAAGATCAAGGTGTGGCAGGAGAGAAGGCAGGCGGTTGGCCCATAACAGGAGGGCAGGGTCACTGATAGACAGACTCCAGAAGAGGCACTCCTGTCACGCGCATCAATTCCAAATGCTAAATGTCAGTATATACCTTCTCTATAAAACACTGGACTTTCCTCAAGTGACAGCTTGCCAGTTTGTAATCCTTGTCTGTTAGAAGTTTATGTATGAAAATGAACATCTCCTTAGAAATTTCTTTTAGGCATTAGGTAATTAGGTGAATTGTTTTTCTTGGAATAGAATAACTTCTACACAATGCTAACTCTTTGTCTGCTTTTGTGTTTACTAAACAGTGTGATTCACTGGCATGTTTCCAGAATCAGTGATACAAACCAAGCAATGAAAAGTGATGGGAATGTATCAATAATTTAACAAAAGGGGGATTTGAAAAGACTGGTTGAATAAAGAGGAAGGCGAACAACTGTTCTGTATGTCTCCTGGTCAGAGCTTTTACTGGCATAGAGCATCCACATTTGATTGTCTTGACTGGTTCAACATTTTCTCATAACAAAGTGTGGCACTGTGGGTAACAGTCTCCCCATGACAGTGTCAGATGTACTATGTTATGGAAGCATACAGTGGGTTGCTTTCATGTTTTATATGATACAAATCACTCTTTTCAGTGAAGTTTGGGTGTTTGGGGTAAAATTCCCATAAATCCTTCTGTTCTACCCAGTAATTGCTTTGTTTTCATGGGGAGGTTGTATACATTTTCCTTCTGATTGTATCTTACTGCCATAAATATGGAAGCTATACCCATTAGTTAGACTGCTTTGTCCAGGTTAAAGATGGGATTAGGGGTCCTTTTGCAGAACTACAGCATCTAGATATAAAGTAGGGACAACTGGAAGGATATTTAAACTATTAGCTGAGCTAATACAAGATAATGGTGGAGTATGCCTTTTGAAGACTGAAGGGTGGGTAGGGATATCTCAAAAAGGCTGGATCTTAGTGAGGAAAAAATTCTGAGGTTATTGCTGCATGTTGTATTTTACATACCATCTGTGAGACCACACAGTTGGCAAAGTAGAGGAGCAAGGTGTCTCTGCTGTTTGCTGACTTTGAGCGACCTGAGACAAGGACAGAGATACTACATGAGCTGTGCAGTTTGACAGTCGGCAATAGCCAGATTATATGTTACTTTGCGGTACTGCATGTGCAATAATTGGTTTATTAAATGTATTTTTGGAGGCAGGAAAGGTATTTATTTTGGAAATTTTCATTTCTGTACTGTAGATTAAAATATCTGAGTTTTCACAGGCTAGGAATTAATACCACTTACAAAAACACAAAGTACAAAAAGCTGGTGCACAGTAGCCTTAAGCAGGACAGTAATGCATGACAGTGGTACAAAAAAAAGTGAGTATGGGATGGAACAGGGAATTTTACCCCAAATAATCACAATTCACTTATATAATCACAAATCACAATACTGTTGTCATGTATTGTACAATACATGACGACAGGAAACTCAATAATTTGCAAATATGCCTTAAAATTGTACATCAGACAGTACTGTGGGAATACTGCTTATGTATTCATAGCATTTCTTCATATTATCCAGTGGAGTTGAATGCCAGAGACACTCACACTAGGAAGACTGGAGACCTGGAGGAAGGGAAAAAATTATATCCAAAAGGAAGTGTTCTTCACGCTGTCTAGTGGCTACTAGTTTGCTGGCCTAGCATGCTCTGATCAATAATGCACTCTAAAATCCAAGTCAGGTTTTTTTTCACTTTTTTTTTTTTACTGCTGCAAGAAATCCTGTTGCATCTCTCAATTCCTCTCTTTTTCTATTATTTTTTAGGTCTTTGCTCATGCATATACTTCTACCGTTCTTGAGTCTCACTGGGCAGCCTGGATCAGTATATCTTCTCTTGTCCTTTTTCTTCCTTTTTCTTATCTTGCTGAGTTGTTCAGCAGTCATTCAGCAGGTGTAGAAGAGATGCTCTTGAAAGATATCCTAGTTGAGGTTACTGATAAACAGACAGACAAGGTCACTGTTAGGTGAAAGCAAGAATATCAGACAGAAGAAGATAACTAGTATAACCCTTTATATCTACTCAGCTAAAGGCATAAGATTCTCACAATCACCCTTGCTTCATGAGCCTTTAACTGTGATATATGTGTTCACAGCCTTTGTGTATGTGCACACAACACTGTGTGCACTGTGTACTTGAAGGCACTTTTTAGCACCAGTAGTCAGGAGTGGTTGGGTGCAGTATTCCTTGGTAACTTTCAAGATAGTGTACACACTTACAAAAGCATTTTTGATCCTTGAGTATATATTGATGAGGATCTCAAAAGGCCAGAATAGACAACTGTTTGACAAGACTTGTGGTTGGCCTGGTCTGTTTGCTTCTTGTTCTTCAAATGATATCCTAAAAGGTCTTTGCAGAATGGCATGGGAAGGTGTCCCACTATGACAGAATAAACAAGGCAGCTCGGAGAAATGCCTGGAAAAAGATTAAATACAACCTGTTGGAAAAATTCTGTGAAATGTTGCCAGCATGCACAGCTTTGCAGTCTGCTAAGATCAATCACCTTCTCTGCAAGCTGTGCCCACCAATTAATGTATGTCATAATTTTAACACACAGTTTCTATCTCTCTTTCCTGAACCTTAATGCAAGTAACAACAGTTTAAAATATGTCCAGATTTTTTTTACCCTGTTGTATTATATTGTGTTCGTTCTATTTTTCCTGTGATACTGCATTTGCTTTGTTTGGTTGGTTCAAAACAAGTAAGCTTTGTAACTTTAAGTATTGAAAATGCTCACTCATCTGTTTCACTGTAGTTCAGAATCATTGCAAGTGCTTTCCATTTTGTTACTATAATATTTTATGACACTGCATTTTACTGATTTGGAGTAAGCCTGTTCTATAAAAGTGTGTAGAAAATGCTCACTTGCTAACTTCACTATAAATTAAAATAACTGCTTTGCTTATATTTTATTTCTCTTTTACAAAATTCCTGTTCTCCTGTATTCAGACTGTTGCCTAGTGATGCCATGCTATACTCTTAATAAATTGATTAGTTCAAAACAGAATTCCTTTGTTCCCTTTCAAAGTTAGCCATTATTTTGGCAGAGGAGAAGGTGATGTTTCAAGGACAGTGGAAAATGTAAACAAATGGCCAGCATTAATGCACCAGTTAACTACCTGCATCCCTTTCAGGGTGTCCAGATGGGTCTTGGAGAACACTTGGTTCTCATTTCTGGCATTATCTGAGTCCCCATCCTCACTGATTCTTTCTCAGTCGACATTTTAGGTTGGAGTGTATATCCACAGTTGTTGGCAGGAAGGCACTGGGGTCCAAGGTGGGTGTGTAGTTGGTGCATTCATAATACAAGCATATCTTGGAGGAAGTTCCAGATTGGTGGTTGTGCTCCTTTTGTCTTTTGCTAAGTTGTTATGCCTTTGTTTTTGCCTTCATCTTACTGTACTTCCTAACTTCCATGTCCTTTGCAAATTCCACAGATAAGCATGCAGTCTTTCCTGCAGAGGTCAAGGAAACCTATTACCGTTTCCTAGACCATGTAGGAGTACAAGAGTGAGGTGGAACAGAAACAGTGCCAGTACAAGTATCCGTACAATTGTGAACAGGTCCAAGGATGGAGCCTTGGGGGGGACCACTGGTCACAGAGCACCATGATGATTCGCTTCCATTGACCATCACTCTGAGTCTGGCCTTGGAGCCAATTCTTGAGCCATCTGACTGTGGTGTAGCCAAGACCACAGTTGGCCAGTTTTTCTAAGAGAAGATTGAGACACCAGATCAAAGGCTTTTCTGAAGTCTAGGTATATGACATCAATCTCTTCTCCCTTGTCCAGGTGATATGTCACCTGGTCGTAGACAGAGATGAGATTGGTCAGGCAAGACCTGCACAAAGCCATGTTGGCTGTCACTCAGGATGTTACCATCAGCCAGCTTGTCAAGAATGGACTCTTTGATATCCCCCCCACCCCCAGTATCTTCCCAAGGATTGAGGTAAAGCTGATTAGCTTGTAGTTCCATGGATCTACTTTCCTCTCTTTCTTGAAGATGGGCAGCACATTGGCCTTCTTCCAATCTTCAGGTACTTCACCTGAATGCCAAGAGTTTTTGAAAATCTTGGCCAGTGGTTGGGCTATGACTCCTGCCAGCTCCTTAAGTACTCTGGGGTGCAGTCCATCAGAACCCAGTGACTTGAAGGTGTTCAACTTCTCAAGGTGTTCCTTTATAAGGTCTACACTGATGCTGGGTATAATTTCACCCTCACCCTGGCTGTCCCACATATTGCTAGGCAAGGCGGACCCTTGGGGTTGATGAAAAACCAACGCAAAGTACCTATTAAGCAGGTTAGCTTTTTCCTGGGAGTCAGTTGTCAGTAGTCCCATTTGGTTTAGCAGGGGTCCAAGGTTACCCTTGCTTTTCCTCCAACTCCTCACATATCTAAAAAAGGACTTTTTATTGTTCTTGATATGTGTAGCCAGGTGGAGTTCGGTTGCAGCCTTGGCTTTTCTGGTTCGCTCCCTACAGGTACAGACCAGTACAGAATAATTCTCCTTTGTGGTGACTCCTATCTTCCATCCTTTATAAGCCTCTCTTCTTTGGCTTAGGAGGTCCATGAGTTCCCTGCTGAGCCAAGGGGGTTGCTGTGCCCTTTTGCTACTTATCCTTTGAGATGGGATGGACATCCCTTGTGCCTCCAGGACCACTTCCTTAAGGAGCAACCACTCCTCTCAGACTCCTCTCCCTGCCAAATCTTGGTTCCTTAGTGCCTTGACAACAAGCCTCCTGAGCTTATCAAAGTCAGCTTTCCTAAAGTCGAGGACTTCTGCATTGCTGACTGAGTTGCCAGCTTTGCAATGGGTAGTAAAAGTGATCAGCTCGTGGTCACTGTCTCCCAGCTTTCCTTCGTTCTTTAGGTTGCTGACTAGGTCATCCCCTTTAGCCAGTACCAGGTCCAGCAGTGATTTACCTCTTGTGGGTCCATAGACTTCTTGGGTCAGGTAGAGTTTGTCCACACATGTGAGGAAGCTTTGCAACTGTTTGGATTTGGCCGGGTGCTCTTCCCATGAGATGTCTGGGTAGTTGAAGTCTCCCCTGACAACCATGCACTGAGAGCATGTACCCTCAGGCAGTTCCCTGGCAAATTCTTGGTCAATCTCTTGTTCCTGGTTGGAGGGTCTATAGTAGACTGCTACCATTGTGTCCCTTGTGCCACATTCCACATATTTTAACTCAGAGGGTCTCTAGTCGCCCTCCCTGGTTGCCAATGTCAGCTTGCAGTGATGTGTAGCTATCCTTGCCATAGAAAGCTACTCCCCCACCCCTTTTATCTGCACAATCTCTCCTATACAAGGTATAGCCATCTATACCTGTGGCTCAGTCATAGGTGGAGTCCCACCAGGTTTCTGTTATCCTTATGAGATCTTAGTCTTTCTTGTTTAGTAAGAGGATCAGTTCTTCCTATTTGTTCCCCAAGCTCCTGGAATTGGTGTGCAGACACATAAGCATCCCATTGGGAGCCCTAGGTTTCCTCACATTCCCAGGAGGACACCATTCCAAGGCTGGGGTAGGAGTGGAATCCCTTGGGTGCCCTAGCCTGTTTGTTTTGTAACTATTGCCTAGCAGGCTTGCTCTGGTGGTTGTCCACCCATCCCCCGGTGGGCTTAGTTTAAGGTTTAAAGGTTTCTTGTAATATCTTTTATTGGGTAAACTCTACAGGTGGGAGAGATGTTGGACATGTTTTCAGGCACAAAGTACCCTTCCTCAGATCTGGGAAAGAAGCAGAAAGAATCTTACCACATGGAGAAGGCTAAAACTTTTGTTTGCTATGTTATTTATTTTTTTTAGTGCAAGGACTGTGTTTGCATTTAAAGGACTGGCTGAGGAGGTCCCAAGCAGGAGCAAAGCAAGCCTGAAAGGCAACAGGCACACCAACCCACTTACAGGCTGCTAAAAGTGAAACAAATTTTCACAAGCTTCTTGTCTTTGTGTTTTACAGTTAAGGGCAGGAAACAAGAAAATGAAGCTGATCTGCAATATCCATAATGTATATTTAAATTGGACTGGAGAAAGATCTGAAAGAAAAAGTAGATGTTCAGATGATATTCTATGATATAGTCCTACAAGTCAAATAATTTCTTTTTCAATAGACAATAAGTAACAGTAGACATAAATAATGTGCAAATAGTGTTCCATGTTGTCAATATTATTCTAAGAACAGCAATTTCTTAGACATATGTGATGATTTAATTAGTTTGTGAACCATACGTTAAAACATCTGGCATTCTCAGAAATTTGTGAGTTTTGAAGTTAAAATTATTTTTTAAATAAAATAAGGACTTAATAATTCAACAGAAAAGTATACCTGTTGTTTTCTGTCAAGGTAGACCATGGAACAGCACATTTTTAGGAGACAAATAATAATCAATCCACACACTTTTTAGTTTAAGAGTGTTAAATGGAGCACCCAAGTAAAAAGCCTTTGCTGCAACAAAAATACTTTGAGGTATAGGAAGGCTGAATCCCTGGTTCCAAAAGTTGCCTTAGGATCATCATACTTGCACCCTGCTACTGTGAGATATGACATGGAGTTGTAAAGGTCAGCCGCTCCCTTCTAGATAGGATTTAAGCATTGTTGATTCACAGCATGTGGGACTGAATTAGTCATGCTCCCAAAGTATTCACTTTTTTACTCCAGGGGAAAGCATTAAAAGGTCTACCCACAACCCTGGGAAATCAGGCAGAACTGCTGAATCAGCCTGTGTGGCAAAGGTGCCCATTTCTACTCCATTTAAGCTTTATATGGGTATATTTGGCCCACCATTTGTATTATTTAGTGTAAATCAGGGGATTAAGGTTGTATTTTTAATAGAAAAATTCAGAGAAAAAGGTAAGCTAATATCAATTTAAAGCATTTATTTTTCAGTTCCTTGACTTCTAATGATAAAACAAGTTAATTGAAGTGGTACTATTAACTTCACAGTTTTTGCTTATAGCTGGTGCTTTTAACACATGGCAATTATCATGTTTAATACTCTGCTGAGCATTTTTGTTGCTATTTGTTTTTCTTCGTATTCATTAAAAATTAGGGCTTTTTTTAAAAGTCTGGGCTGGTTAGATTTCTAAAAGATTACTTACAGTGTACTTGGATCATTGGTCTTTGCTGTCAACAGGTAACTTTATCTGCAACCAAGCGTTGTTGTTGTTTCCCCTTAAACAGTGACTGCACTTAACATGTTGTGGTTCCCTTGCCTGTTTCCCAGCTGTAGATAACTACACATGGTTTCTTTATCAGCATGCTACAGAGAAATGATCCTTTGTGAGTGGAATAGCAGGGAAAAAAAATCACTATATACACCAGGAGGAAACACTAGCTGAGTCTACATGAGATGCTCACTGTGCAGTCATTACTGCAGTCATTTAGTGCTTGTATAAATTACATATAAATGTACATGCTTATATATATACTTGTATAAATGTACTTGTATAAGCACCGATGAATGCCTTTTTTGTGATGCTACTGCACAATAGCCTAATACTACGATGCAACGCTACTGTACAGTAGTTTTTGCCATGCAATGCTACTGCGCAGTCGTATCTACTGCTCAGTCAGTGTCTCATGTAGATGCGGTCATTGTTGCTGATTTATTTGTATCTTCACTTAATGCATGCATCGACCTAGTTGGTCCTCGACACTTGCTCAATCAACAGGAATTATACGATTTTGTAAGTTTTAGAAAATATTGTCCTTCTGTTGTGCTCATTGAAGATGGGTCTCTGTGCATGAAGGTCCAATCCTATTTCATCTGAAGGTGTTTAAAAGATAATGAGGCAGTGATTGTTCAGCCATCTAAGAGGCATTTTTGTCCCTGACAGAGTTTAGATTCTGTTTCCACCTGGATAATAAGATTTATTCTTCTAAGCACATCCAAAAAGGATCCACTATATCCATGTATGCTCTGTGGTGATCTTACTCAGTCTGAGTGGGCTATGTACAAGTCCCTGAGGGTGTCTACACATAGCACACCACTATGGCGATGTAGGGCAATGTTGTTGTACGGTGCACTATGGCAACGTAGTGACCACGTGGGTCTACATGTAATCAGCAGGTAGTTTGCCATAGTGACGTGCTCTCCCATTTTAGTGCACTGCTACAATGAAGTAGTGGCAAAATCTAAACGTGTGCCATGTATATGGTAGAGTACAGACAGTTATTGCACCATGCTTTAGTACTTCTAAAAAGAAGTAATAAAGCACAGCACTGTAGCAACATCACCATATGGTGACATGTAGATGTGCCCAGCAAGTGTGGTCAGACGATAAACAGGTGGGCCAGGTATGAGAGAGAATGAGGACACTCCTACCTTTTAGCCTAGTAGCTTGAAGGCTAGAGCACTTGCCCAGGAACCGCGAGACTAAAGTTCCTGCAGGTCCTTTTCATCTTGAAAGGGTTGGAACATGTATCTACTACTTCTCAGCAAAATGCCTTAAAACACTACACTCCATCCTTTGCATTGAAGGTTGTTCACTGAGTAATCAAGATGGGAAGGTATATGGGTCTGGAATGAGAAGCCAGAGGAAGCTT